GGTACGGCGTCACCAATTAATCGCAGACTTCAAGTTGATGCTTCAACAAATACCCCAAGCCGTGCTGATGTGGTAAGTAATTTTGGAGAACGATGGATACAGTAATTTCCTCAACCGTGTTTGAGAGCGAGTACATTTTTTTCAGCCTTACGGTGATGCTGATGAGTCCTTTTTCTCCGTAAAAAGCGACCATACAAATTTTGCGAATTCGGATCACTCTTTTGCTAGTGCAATATCTAGCCCACTTGGTCAAAAAAGCGCTTTCAAAGCTACCCAAAAGCTTGGCGATACCGACTGGAAGAAAGCACAAGAGCCGAAGAGCACGGGGAGTTTATCACTAGGTCAACCTAGAGAGGCTCAAAGTGTTTTATCAATGACAGAAAGTCGTTCAATAACTGTTATTATACCTGATGTGCATCGAGAGAAATCTGAGGAAGTAGCATTGCCTGACGTGGAAAGACGCTCGCAATCGGGATCTCCGAAGCCCCCTGCTCAAGAAGTTTCGTCCAGTGTGGTGACTTCTATCGCAGCTTCACCGAGTAAGACCACAGTCTCAAATCTCTCTCGGGGCGGACTCATCAGCATCACCGTAAGGCTGAAAAAAAAATGCACTCGCTCTCGAACACGGTTGAGGAAATTACTGTATCCATCGTTCTCCAAAATTACTTACCACATCAGCACGGCTTGGGGTATTTGTTGAAGCATCCACTTGAAGTCTGCGATTAATTGGTGACGCCGTACCTACGTCTCGATCACCTTCTAAAATTCTTCGGTAAGAAGTAAGTAAGAATTAAAAGTAAGAAGTAAGTAAGAAGTAAAAGTAAGAAGTAAAATAAGAAGTGTTGCGTGGTGGTTACTATTGCTATTAGAAATCCTGCCGATTCTGCCTCATTTCGTAGAAGTTCACAGAGATAGCAAAGACCACTTACACTAATGTTAACGAGAGTCCAATGACCACCTTACTCGGGTTTGGATTTCAACGAAGGTCAACAACCGAAAACTTCTGACCTTGACCGAAAATGAATCACAGCGTGCATGGCGGTTGACTGGTCCCTTTTCCTTGCAGCGCATGATGCTGGTGCTGCACCGCGGCATCATCTTAAGCAATCTTATCCCCCGCAATCTAGTCTTCCTATCCCACATTTGTCAATACTTAGACCGACGTCACACTCGGCGACGGACAAGCGATGGAGCGATCGCAATCGCTCGACCGAGAGCGAATCGCTTGCAAAGTGCACAAGCGACGGCCGATGGCTCTGCTCGATCGATACCGCAGCCGACTGCATCGACTGGGGGCGGGCCCAATGGAGCCATCGCTTGTCCGTCGCCGAGTCGGTCTTACCATTAGAGCCTACTCCTTCACTACTGAACGGAATTGTAACTTGCCCATCTCTTTTCCGGTTCCTTTGAGGGAACTTCAATCGAAAAAAAGAACCATTCTGAACTGAACGTAGGTTTTGGGTAGGGGTCTATTAGTCATGTAGCTCATCACTTGATCGAATATTGGTAGTGCCAGAGTCACTTCAGATCCTTTCTAGCAGATTTTCGCACCGAAGCGTGAACTACTCTTACAAAGGAGATCTATAGTAACAACTTTTGGTTCCTAGCAATCAATCAACAGAAGATTTAGATTCATACCTGATTCAAATGAAATGGGAGAAGACGTCGCTGGTGAGTTTTCGCGTGACACCGTCAAGCGCTTACCCTATAATTTTTTTTCATATTTCATATTTATTATATTCATACAGTTCAAGCGTTGTAACAAAAGTGGTTACAATATCAAAAATTCAAGTACCTATTAAATGAAGAACGTTAAAAAAGAAATTCATCCAAGGAACATCATAAGTGTACAAATGGTTGTACTGAGAGGCTGAAGGGGAGGGGGAATAACCGCCAGAGGACAGTGGAGTGAACAGGACAGGGCAGTGGGCCGCCAACACTACAAGTTCTCACGGGCGCAGATGAGAGCTCCGGATACCATCGTAGTAGGCCCGCCAACATTAACTGATTGCTAAAATCTGAGATATACAACAAAGAAAAGGATCCCACAAAGTAAAAATCATTGGCTAAACGAGATTTGTGACTGGATCAGATTTAGATCCCCTTCCCCAGTGATAATGTCTTAAAACCACGTTTGAACATCAACACTTTTCTTTCCAATGGTAGGAAGGAATACCTGCAAATCTCGAACCCGCCTGGATAATTGATCTCGTTCATGATCGTCAAGTTGGCCATCCTTCAACCAGCTTTCATAGACCTTAACGATGAAACCTTCATGAAAAAACAACAGCTATTATACGTTAAAAACTTACTCTAATCAGTAACTTTTTGCTGGCACTTGATTTTGCGTATAGCAGTTTACGTTCCGCCTCTCCGAATTCTCCTTTTGCGAGAAAACTCATGGCAAGATATCTTAAAATAGTCAACATTAGGCGCTCAGAACTGATTACACTCATGGAGAGCGGTTAGTTACCTTGAAACGTGCTCCTCTATATCATCCACTGCCTCAACAGTGAGATCCTCTTCTTCATTAGCGCCATCAGGAAAGAGCTCATCAAGCCTTCGACGGTGGGGATGTGCCCTAATAAATACCACTCTAACAAATTGTGCTACAGCAATTGAAAAAAAGGCATTATTTGCCCTTCACTGCCCTATTTTCAAGAACCGGTGTGAATTTTTTCTCAAATTGTGCCTCTTTCAATGATTGTGGCCGGAAATTTGTCTACGAATGTAGTTCAAGATGTAGAACAAGCATATCGCGAAAAAAAATCGTCCCCTTTCTAGAGAAAAAGCAATAGAGGGTAAATAGTGCCACATTTTTCAGCAAACTAAATAACAACAACAATCAGGCTATGTAGAATGAAGCTGTTCAAATGAATAATGACAAAAAGGTACGCACTCACCCAAGTTATAGCATCATGAATCGCTGTAGCATAAAGTGTCATCCAAAGATCATTTTTACCCTTCCTAATGTGACTTCTCGCAAAAGGAGAATTCGGAGAGCCGTGAACGTGAAAACTGCTATACACGCAAAATCAAGGCCAGCCAAATATAGGTTGCTGATTTATGAGTAAGCTTTTTGAGATATAATGCTTTGATGCTCTCTTTTATGACAGTTTTAATTTAATGGTCTTACGAGCTGGTTGAAGGATGCCATCCTTGACGATCATGTAACGAGCTCAGTTATTCTAGGCGGTTCGAGTCCTGCAGGTAATTCCCTTTCGTACCATTGGAAAGAAAAGTGCTGATGTTCGAATGTGGTTTCAAGACATTATCCACTCGGGAAGGGGATCTGAATCCGATTTCAGTTTACTATCTTACAAATCTCGTTTAGCCTGTTATTTTTATTTTGTGGGATCCTTTTCTTTGATGTATATCCGAGATTTCCGTAACAATCCAATCAAAGGAAGCGATTACGATAAGGAATTTTCGCATCGGGGGAGAACCTGCGCCACACGGAGCAATTACTTGGCTGCCAAGGAAGCGATGTGTGGCCCTCCCACGGCGAAAGGTGCTGTGGTTGCTGAGCAGGACCCGCGTGACGCCCCGCCCCCAGTGACGTGACGCCCACTAGTTTTGTTGATGATCTGGATGGACTGTTTGCTGTTGGCTTTTCATTTTGGATGATCATTTCCCTTCTAGCGGCTGTATCTTCCAACTTGCCCACGTATTGCCTTATCAATCAAACACTATGCTTGTTGGCATGATGGCGGCTATCGGGGTTAACACGTCCGAACAACGTCGTTCTTTACCGTCGCTCATCCATGGTCGAAAATGAAAGGGCAATCAAAGGGGTACTATTTTGCTTATTTTTGACGGATTTCTTTGCTTTTTTCGCCATTGGCGTACTATTGAGACCCTCACGTCCCCTCTAAACCCCTTTGAGATCTATCGTAATCGCTGCCTTTAAAATAGGAGTTCTCATTGTTCCTATGCAGTAAACTTGTAGTGTTGGCGGCCCACTGCCCTTCTGCGCTGTTCTGTTCACCCCACTGTCCCGCGGCCACCCTCGCCGTCCCCTCCGCCCGTTCAGCCGCTCACAGTACAACCATTTGTACACTTGTGATGATCCTTGGGATGAATTTCTTTTTTGACATTCTTCGTTTAAGAGGTA